TAATATTAATCCAAGCATAGCTTACCAGTGAAGGAAAAACTAATTTAGAGATCAAAAAGATTGTTTTTTATTTTATGTATATGAGTGTTTCACCTGCATGTATGTACATACACTTATGCATACAGCACCCATGGAGGCCAAAAGAGGGCATCGGATCCCCTGGAACTGGAGTTACAGGTGGTTGTCAGCTGCCCTGTGCATGCTGGGACCTGAACCTAGGTCTTCTGTAAAAGCAGCTAGTGTTCTTAACTGCTGAGCCATCTTTCCAGCCCTTAGAGAGAAAAAAATTTAAAGAAAAGATAAATGCATAAATTATTAAAGTTTTTTTAACTACTGTTAAAGAACATCCCAAACAATCTTAATCATCTTTATACCCCCATCTCAAATCCATCCTCCCCCAGTGGAGCCCATATGCTCTGTTACTACCCTCTGTGTTGTCAGTGCCCCCAGCAATTCTCCAGTTCAAGTCCATCCGCTGAGTCTAGTCAGCCTATCTAGAGTCCTTTGTTTTAGGAAGATCAGCTCTTCTTCATCTAGTAGCAATCAGGTGCCAACATTCCTTTAGATAAGATTGGGGTCTGCTGTTCATTTTCCCAGTTCTTTGCTGGGTTACTGTCTGCCTGAGTTTGCATGGGACTTGTGTATGCTGACACCATTGCCACAGAATCATAGGAGCAGGATCCCAGGAGCTTGTAGGACTCTGTTTCCATACAGTCATGCACCTCCTCCCTGGCTCTTACAGTCTCTCTGTTCCCTCTTCTGAGATGGTCCCTGAGCCCTGGGTGGGTGAAGTTTAATAAAGGGGTCCTGTCCAAGGACCATCATTCAGCAGTCTCTTGATCTCTACACTTTGGCCACTTCTGACCTTTTGTGTTCCTGGCTCTCCGCTGCATGAGGAGCTTCATTATTGAGGACTGATCCTTAGTGTCCTCTTCTTTACCCCTGTTCTATGTTCCATGTGCCATAGGTATAGAGGTTGCATTGCAGATGTGTCCCTTGGGCTTGGGCAATTCATAGACAATGTCTGTGTGTGACCAGTTGTGGTACTTGGTATTAGTCTCTGACTGCTGCAAAGTAAGATGAGCAGTGACTGGGATATCCGTCTGTAAACATAAGGATACATATTTTGCACATAGTAAGAAATGACATTAGTCTAGCGATGTGAGAGTTTTGGGGTTTTCTCTAAAACCTATGACCACTCCAGCCATGTGTATTAGGTTATGTTACAGTACCACACTTGAGTTTCCTCCCTTTGAGTGGGCCTTTAGTCAAATTAGATAGCTGTTGATTGCCCCCAAGACAGTCTTGAAGCTGGTGCTGGATCATCCATTGATGTTTTCCCTTGGCACTTTTTTCTCTAAAGCTATGAGAGCTCGCCTTCAGGGGAAGTGGCTTTCAGGTCATTTGCAGCTCCATTTCTCTAAATCCTGTGTCCAGCATATGTTCTGTCTTCGGCAGTAGGGACTTACCTTCAAGTTCTGGGAAAAAAAAGTGTTTTGTTTTGTTTTTTCTAAAGAAAGAAAAAAAGTTATGAATCAAGAAAGTATCATATAAGTTCATTTTGTGGACTGGAAGACAGGCTTAAGACGGCAAAGCGATCTGAAGAGCACACTGCACCATGAGTTGGAACTTCCTACATAACTTTGTAGCATATAGTTTTTCTCACTGTTTCTGATAGAAGTTAAAATCCAAAATTAATTTTTAAATGCATATCTAAGTATAAATGAAAACTAATCTGGTTTAAGCACATGATACAGACTGTTAGCAGTGATAGTCATTAGGTCTCATTTTTCCATTATTTCACCAATTCCCGTGGTACTGTGTTCTACAAAAATTAATACTATATAGGGAAAGCCCACTTCGTTAAGTCATGCTGAAAACAGTTTTGTTGGACTACTTCAGGCAAAAAGTAGAACAGTAGAAAACGAAAAAGTAAGACTTTCTATAGCCCTTAATTTTAAAAAGGAAAAAAATTGTTTGCTTATTAACCAAAGACTGAAGTCATCTGTGGTGTCCACTAAAGGAATATTAAGTTTAATCCAAGTATTTGAAGAATTCCTTAAAACACCTTCAGATGGTTCTTTGTATTTGGTAGTTTTTGCGACACTCCCTTTTTAAGATAATTGGCTTTGTCTTTAAGTAAAACCTCATATCTAAAGGTTTTTGTGAGTCATTTTCCATCTTCACCTGTGAGCCTATAAACAAGTTCAGTAATTATTTGAATCATTATTTCCAAAAACCTTAGATTTAATAACTTACAGTTACATTTATGTTTCCTATGTGATCTGCGTTACAAGCTTTCTTTTATGACTGCTTCAGGATCTAGCAAGGAGAAACTACACCGATCACTTTAGCAGTCGTGAATAATTGCCTGCTAAGTGTTCAGGAATGGAAAAGACAGAAGACAGCAAGCTAGTGATTTTCAAACACTGGCACCAGAACAACTTTGTAAGCATCACCCAGAAATTGTTAGAAGTCTAAGTTCTCAGACATAAAACCTTGCCCTTCATTTACTGAATGAGAAACTTTGGTAGGGGCCCAGAAATCTGTGCTCTAACATGCTTGCCAAGAAAATCTTAGGGTTTGAGGGGGATAGATTTTGTGTGTGTGTGTGTGTGTGTGTGTGTGTGTGTGTGTGTGTGTGTGTGTGTGCGCGCGCGCGCGCGCGCACGTTGAGGCGGTTTCCCTGTAGCTCTAGCTGGCCTAGCACTCCTTATGTAGACCAGGCTGGCTTGATCTCACAGAGATACACCCACCTCTGCCTCTCAAGTGCTGGTGTTAAAACAATGTACCACCACATCCAGCTTCAAGAGAGTCTTTAACGTATGCTCAAATTTTTAAAAAAACACCCACATAGCAGAAATCAGAAACAGAAAAATTTTGTAAAGGCCTCCATGGAGCTAAACTCAGGCTTCCAAGAACAGATCAGTCCTTTCCTGGTGAACAGAACTCAGACCCATAGAATCAGGTATCTGAAAAGGGGCCCATAAGTCACAACTGGTACCTGAAGAACATTGAGATTGTACAGATGCCAGGAAACCTGCAAACTGCAGTGAGCCTCCACTACTGGACGGAACTTGCAGCCGCCGGGTGAAGAACTGTTCCTAAAAGGAAACCATCGGGATGAAGAGGCCTGATGTGAACAGGAAGCAACTTGCTTCCTCCCCTCCTGTGCAGTGTCTTTATAGGCCTTCTCTTGTAGAGCCTAGCAGGGAGCCAGAAAGGTTTTCAGAATTCCAAAGGGCTGCATACTAGTACGTTTTCATTATGGTCATAAACTAGCGCAAGACAGGCTAATTTACAAAGAAAAAAATTTTATTTAGCTAACAGTTTCTAAAAATCCAAATGACATGGCACAGGCTCTGGTGAGGGCTTCACCCTGGCTGCCTCACCTCAAGGCAAACTGAAATAGCAGGAGCATGTGCTAAAAGAAATGATTACATGGTGAAACAGATCCAGAAAAAGTTTGTTTGAAGCAAGGCCTGAGCTTTTTCTAAAAACAGTCCTCTTGTAAGAATAAGGGTCCCACAAGAAAGACCTTAATCATTGTTTAGAACAAATCCCCAGTTGACATAATAACCTCCCACTAGGCCCTACCTCATAAAGGTTTCCCCTCCTGACATCACAGCAAAGACCAAATTCTCAACACATAAACCTTTGAAGAAACAAACCATCAAAACTATAGAAGTGGATTGGAAGCCAGGAAGCAGTACATTCAGGACTAGCCTAGTAGTTTTAATCATAATAAGACTGAGCAGTAATAAAAATAAATACCTTTTGGGATGGAGAGATGGCTCAGCGGTTAAGAACACTGACTGTTCTTGCAAAAGACCCAGTTTCACATCCCAGCACCCACATGGCAGCTAACAACTGTCTGTAACTCTAGTCCCAGGGGATCCAACAGCTGCTTCTGACCTCTGCGGGCATTGCACAACACGAGTGTACTTACCTACATGTAGGCAATACATGTGTACACATAAAATAAAAATAAATAAAATTTAAAAAATAAATACCTTTGGAATGTATAGTTGAGTATACAGGGAGAGTCTCTGGGGTACTGACTTCTAGGTGGACTTTCAGCCTATATAAAATTGATCCTGTTTAAAAACTTTGGTTTTTATGATGAGATTGATATGAAGCATTTCAGATCTTGGTAGCTTTTGACGGGAAGCTATCAAGGGATCCACTGAAGCATGCTGAGCTAGCTGAGATTAAAACAGAAAGATAACAACAGTAGTGGCCGAGGATTGCTCAGAATTGACAAGTCATGCTCCAGTCAGCTGAAACCTGATTAGTTGAAGTCTTAGTTCACCAAGCCGAGCAGTCAGGAACCTTGCTTCATAAAACAGGAGAGTGACAGAAAAGGTTCTGAAATGGAGGTCTCTGACAAGAGAAATAAAAACAGCGTTCTTCATTTACATAGTCCCCTGTAGGCAATTCCAAGGATCTAGAAAATGAATAGAGCTGTTCTACACTTTGTAAATCAGTGGTTTAGTGATCAGGGATCTAATGCTAATTCTATAGAAATCAGTAAGTGCTTTCTACACTCACGAAAGGTGAGAACATGGCAGTGTTCTGTTGTGAGTCCAAAGGGACACCCCCAATGTATTTTTTTTCTACAACACATTTATTACACCTTTATTATCTTACATTGGAGAGCACAAGTCTAAAGTCAGCAAGGCTGCATTCCTTCCAGGGGAACTAGCTTTGTTTTTTTCTTCTCCAGCTTCACAGGCTGTTTTCATTCACCGCTCAGGAGATAGTTGATGCTGGCCCTTCTCAGCATCACATTTTACATCTGCAGGCTTTGCCTCAGCTGCGTGAAAGAACTTACAGATTGTTGAGACTAGGGTGTGGGCAGCTTTTGAACAAGTATTTATTGATTGCCTTAAGTATGTGCAATATTTAAAGAAGATGAACAAGAACTATGAGATTGCTGTTATTAAAGATGTTTACATATTTCTCATTTTGTTCATATTTTGGTTTGTCTTTTTTTTAAGGCTATTGAAGATTCACAAAACCACACTGGCGAGCCTATTAGAGATGACTACAAAAAGATGGGAACACTTTTTGGTGAACTGAACAAAAACCTCCTCAACATGGGCTTCACAAGGATGTACTTTGGAGAACGAATTGTGGAACCAGTCGTGGTCCTTTTCTTTTGGCTTATGCTGTGGTTCCTTGGCCTACAAGCCCTTGGACTAGTCGCTGTTCTTTGCCTTGTCATTATTTACGTGCAACAGTAAAACAGCTGAATGAGTTGTTGTTGGACATTTCATAGCCATTTATATAACTGATAGAGCTATACATTTTGGCTTTTTGAAAAAATTAATTTTGACTTGTTTCATATTGTGTATTGACTCTTTTGTGATTACAATTATAAATGAATGTTGTTTAAACTAAACTGTTTGTTATAACAGGATGAATATATATTTTGAATATACGTTAGTTTATTCAAAACTCTTCTATGATCTACACCCACTTTTAGACAACTCTGTTCCCCATGCCAGATTGTAGCTGATACCACCAGTGAGCAGCAAAAAGAACAATGTAGAGGTGAAACAACAGTGCAGTTCTTTTAGAGTTCCAATCGAACATTGCAGGTGAAAAAGGAATAAATAGCTAAAAATAAGTTTTGATTGGAAAATCATTCCACCTTCACTTCCATCCAATAGTCCCACATTTGGGAGATAATTTGTCTTGCTTAGTCCAAACCAAAGTAAATGGTAAGTACCACATACCACCTTAGTGTGGAAAGTGAATACAGCTAGCAATTTTCTAAACATTGAAACCAAATTATTGCTGAGGAAATTTTTCAGGGTAAATATATGGTTTTGTTTTGTTTGTTTTTAATGTTACGCCCAGACCTGGAATTTCTTCAGTATATTGTTTGAAGTTTCAGACAATTCTGGTGCTAATTTCCTTTTGTGACTTTTTTGTCTCCTAACCAAGCCTGCAGTGGGCTGTACCTGATGATAGTGCCTACCTTGTGCCATACCAGGTGAACCAGCTGCATGCTTTTCCTAGACACATTTCCATGTATTTTTTTCAAAGGTTTATAATTCAATACTTCTTTTCTAACAATTCTTGATATTTAACAATGTATTTCCTGTCATAGCATGGATTTTTTTCTTCCCAAAAGACTGATTTATATTTGATCATTATTTAAGGAAAAGTCAGATCGTTTTTCTTTGATGTTAGTATAGCATAAAATCAGATGCTTAAATTCAGAGCTTAATACCCACTTGGAGTGCTCCGCTAGGGTTAAAGCCAGTTCATGTTTTTAATGTGTTTTAATGCAGCACTGTGGTGTTTTATATTGAAATAAGCATTTCTTTAAATACTCTTTGAAATTGAAAAGTTACTTTGATATTTTTGATTTTGTTAATCTAAAACCTTTACACTTTTGTCTCAGTCTGTTTGAACAAAGAAATTTAAATAGAAAAAATAAGGCAGTGTGGCATTTTCTTTGGAAAGGCAGTAACTAAAGCAGTAGAGTGTTTGTTAGGCCACTCAGTTAAGCTCTTACCCAGTGCAATTTCAAATTCTGTTCTGTAACTTCTCAGTGTCTTCCATTCTGAAACATAAAATTATGAAAATATTTAACTTAGATTTCTAAAATCAGATAATCCTGAACAAAAAAGGTCAGGGGCACAAAAATGTACATTTGTATAAATACAGACCTTAAATTTTGGCTTTGAATAAAACAAGCAAGAGTTTGTACTGTGTCATTGTTTTTATTGTGCTTACAATATTTTTATAGTAACTTTTATGAGTTCAGTATTGGTGCCACATGTTTGGAAAGATTTTCAGTTGTGTACAAGGTTTTAATAAGCCATGAGATTGTGCATATGTACAAGAGATGAACGAGTGTGTCCTCTCCTAGTGCTACCAGGAAGTGGAACATCCCTTTGGAATGCAAAATAAAAGATGAGTGTACATAGTAACAGTTCTGGTCTGACCAGTGCTTGTTGTTGAAATAATTTAAAAGTAAGTCCTAATGTTCGTTACTTAGTATACTGTCTGTGCTATGCACCTGCACACTGGTGTTGACAGAGTGTGTGTTAAGTTATATAACTAAACAGAAACTGCTCTTCTCTCTACATATGTTATTGCTTAGTGCAGTGCCATCACAGTTTTTTTGTCTAATATGGAAAAAGCAGACTTTGATAGATATAAAATATTATCTGTATGAAACATGTTAGAATACATACTGTACTGGTCTCCTGAAATGAAACATAATTTCTTTGGTTCATGGTATAAAAATATATGTTAAAAATGATTTTCTGGGGGCTGGAGAAATGGCTCAGCAGTTGAAACCACTGGTTACTCTCCCAGAAGACCTGGGTTTCATTCCTAGCACCCACATGGCAGCTAACAACTGTCTGTAACTCCCAATTCCAGGGGATCCAATGCCCTCTTCTGGCCTCCACAGGCATTGCATGCATGGGTGCACTTAC